TGTGTGTGTGTGTGTGGGGAACAGGGTCACATCACAGGAGAGTGAACAGTCTGTCAGGAATCATAGCACGTCAGCTGTCTTAACCGCGGCTTGTGTACGGCATCATCACTGTGTCTGTCACGCGACTCTGTTGCCCTTTCAGGCTTGAACTGATGGTAAAACTAACGACATTATTAACTGTCTTGATATTTACTTTGAAAGCTGACGCTCACGATTATGGTGAGGCACGTTACATTTCTGACACGTGCTTGTGGTGTTCGGCCAATCACAATGCACTGGGCCAGCTGGCCAATCAGAGCAGACTGTGCTTGTCAAAGGAGGGGGCTTTGTTGAAAACGACGCGTTTGAGAGAGGCGGGGCATAGAGGACCTACAATAATGTACAGTATTTGAAAAATAATGTGTTTTTTGAACATTAAAGCATGTCAACATATTCTGTTACACCAAATACACAAAATAATGATCTTTAAAATAGCATCATATGACCCCTTTAAAACCATCCAAGGACAGCATCAGGATCAGATCTAGTTCTGCCACCACAGAATGAAGGGACAACAGAATATGTGCTAAAATCAAATGTTCTTTTGATAAAACACTGAAAAGTTTAGAAGAAGCACAGCCGTTTGGCCACACTTCGTTCCCTGAACAACAACCTGTTCAAAATAACACAGTCTGTTCATTATTCAGAGGCACTGCTGGGCCTTGCAAAAAAAAAAAGGAACAACAGATCCGTGCTGACCCTTAGAACGGCAGACTGATTGAAACATATAGGGAGCATGTTCAGTATTACACAATCTGCATTAAATGTGCAGCTCCACAAAGACCAGTGACACGGTACTGACCCCAATAAAACAACAAGGAATCGGGTCACTGACTTTAAAGTATTAGATCCTCTGTTCTTTCATAACGCTGCAAAAAATGCCAGCTGCAGGGGTTCGCGAGCAGATTTGGAAACGTATCTGTCCTGTGGGTGATGCTGAAACTCATTGTGTTTCTCTTAAGGTGCTTCGTAATTTGTGCCAACGCTGCAAAATGCAAGCCCAGTAACTGACCCACTTTACCTGCACGACTCTTTCAGATACGCATTGCTAGGTGTGTGACTGAAATTGAATTTGTTTACTCAATGAAAATCTCCAGTGTGCTGTTAACCAGAGCTCTAGGGCAGATTTATAATATTAGTAGTGAATATTTTATGATACGTTTATGGTGGTTTTGTGTTTTGTCAATTCCAGTAACATGACTAATTGAAAACACAAGTTACACTCGAGGCTGCAAACATAATGCATGTAGCATAAAATCTGATAGCAGGACAAGCACACCTTTTGTGTTTATGACTTTTAAAATGGTCTGGGTTGACGTGAATCATTCCCAACCCTGAAAAAGAAAACTTAGGCCAGGGCTTCACAGTTTCTTCAGTATGAGAGGCTGATGCACCAAACATGTTTGAGTGAAGGAAGTTTCGGTCCCTACCTGGATCGTTGTGCGAATGAGGGACCACAAACACTTGCAGGGGCTCGTCATCCCACTCGTTGGGCTCATAGGTGATCTCAAAGCCTTGCTTCCAAACACCTCCGTCCACATTATCAAAGCTCAGCAAGGAGTACACATCCAGCATCTGTGACCAAACAATCAATTCAGAGATTGTCACAAATGTTATTGCATGGATTCACCCAGATACGTCTCGATCCGCTTCACAATTCCCAAATATCTTTATGAAAACCTCCACTAGGAGACACAAAAATGTGATAAAGACGTTACATTTAGCGATTTTCCACAAAACTAGGCACGTTGTGGACTCCCTGATAAATACTACATCTCATGGCAATTTAATGTAACTGACAGATGACACAGGACCTGTCTTTAGTGTAGGCGTGACAGCCTGAAGCATAACCGCACACCCAATGGAGCCTTAAAGTGCCTGTTCTCTTAGACGTGTTTTGAATAGATGTTTTTTAATAACCTCAAAATATTAAAAACTCAAAGTATCTGAGGATTTACTACAGACAAAGTATTATATAAAAAAAATAGTATTGACTCAAGAGGTAGTGCTCTTAAATGGTTAAATCTGTACCGTTATCCCTTAAAAAGTGAGTGCTAGATGATGGCAAATGTGCTTTAAATCTGATCTAAAATAGGCAGAAACAATTAAACATCCAATATCAGCAGATAAAATCCAAAATGGCCAATACCAATTTTAAAAATGTAAAAAGATTCAAATGAAATAAAAAAATGCTGATAAATATTGTGCATTACTAGGAGAAAATTAAGTGAGTGCTAGGTGGGCAAATGTAATCTGATTCTAAATCTAATATAAAACAGGCAGAAACAATAAAACAACTAATATCATCTGATATTAGTTGCCAATACTGACTGAAAATAAAAGAATACAAAAATAAAAATCTAAAACAGGCAGTTTTAATTATTAAACAATTAAATATACAACTGATAAATATCCAAAATGGCCAATACAGATTTAGATTTTAGGCACGCAAACTATTAAACACAAAACAATATTTATGGCATGGTATGTTATATGCAATTGGTTTTGACCACTGTACAATTTAACAATTTACTCCTGGAGCCATATTGAGATTCTCATATTGCTGGAATGTAACCACAGAGGGCCTTAAAAATGAAGATGCCAAAAGGAAAGTTTGTCAAGACCCAAAATCTAATAGGGCATTAAGATATCTTTAATACTTCTTAAGTTACAGGCACGCAAACTTTGGAGAAAAACGCCTTTTCCCATTTTTGAATGGTCACCATTGGCATATAATGCAACAAAGATTGCAGATTTTACTAATAGAGCTACCAATCTCAGTGTAAAAATAATATAATGATGCTGCCATCTTTCTGAAGTCATTTTCACTCTTCTATAATCTGGCTATGAATCTCGTCTATGAAAATTGTCATTTTGACTCCCCCTCTACAAAATAGTGGATTACTCAGGAAATACACATCCATTACATTTAATATTTTGGCTTTCATCACTATACAAGTTTATCTTTCTTCAGAAAAAATACTGACGAAATCAAACATTTGAGCCGGGGACCTCTGGTTGAGTTGACACCGAGTGGCCCACTAGTCATTACATGAGTAACTGCAAAAGTAACTGTACAAGTTTTAGACTCAAAACTGTGTGATTATTGATGGAATTCTTGGCAAGTATAGCTATAACCACAACAAGTGAATCCCAAAGCCACACTGCAGTCCTCATCCAGATAACAATGCATTAAACTCAAGTCATTCTACACACTTCAGCCCACTGAGACTCTGTTTTGATTATCACCTGTAGGTCAGTTTGGCTCCTGCGGCCCAGTGCGAACTGGCAATCCAGCGGCTTGACGGAGAGAAAGGTGGGCCTGCCATCAAAGGGCAGCACCCAGGAGCCATTGGCGCTACGGAAGGGGAGATGTCCGCTGGGAGAGATGGCCCCCGTGTCGGTGAGCTCCAGCACAGAATCTTTGATGTGGCTGATGATCTGATGGTTCTCCTCCAGGAGCTGCTCCAGCTGCTCAATGCGGTTCTGCAACACCGAAATCTGGCTCTAAAAAGAAGGAGGGGGATGGAGGTGTAATCTATCTAATGCCACAATCTACACATGACTGACCCGAGCGCTCTAGAGGGGACGACACACCAAGGCACACAGGACTGGCATGGCTGACCTGTAACATGTCTACAGTACAGTATCACTAACAAACTGGATTTTATGTAGCAATTCTGAGTAGGGATGTACCAATATCAATATGGTCATTTTTTGTCATGTTATGGCCAAAAACAATTTTGTCTAAATACATTAAAAAAATTACACATATCTGTTTTTCATAAAGAATATTATAATGTTAGGTTGCTTAAATTCACTTCCAAAAATTTAAATAGTTGATTTTAAATGTTATTTTTTTTATGTATTAAGACAAAATAGTTTTTGACAATAGCAGCAAGCAAACAATGACAACAAACCATTTTTGAAAAAAAGAAACATATTTATATATATACATTTATTTGTAACGTATTTACAAATACATTTATTTATATATATTTATATTATTTGCTAAGATGTTCTAGATGTTTTCAAGAGAGATGATATTCTGGTCCTTAGATAGGTCTCAGATTCTTTCTTTAATGTAAATTCACAGGATTTTTTTTCTGCCATTTTATCATCCCCCAGGCAGATCACAAGTCCGATGGCTTAGAAAATGAATAGCACACCTCTCCCCAACATGCTGAACGATTTGAGGTATCATTCAGATCCGTAGTACAAAGGGTGAGGGATGAGTTACATGTACAAACGTAATACTTGGGAGTTTCTTCAAATCCCTTGCCTTAGCCAGTATTACTAATATCAAGTGTCACAGAGGCTTATGATATGAAGCACATAAAACGTGCTAATTCACACACCATCATGTGTCATCACGTACGTAATTTCTAGAAGAACACCAGCACATTTTTCTAATAATTCGTTTTTTGCATTTAAAAAAAGCCTTTGGTTTTGTGGCAGAAAAAAGCCAGAACTCACAGAGAGTTATTCACTAGCTAATTTAGTAGTTAATTAGCTCGAGTCAGAGCCAGAAACGAACTGGTAACATCACTAGCTTTTACACTTGCTAGCCTGAAAAACTAATTTGATAAATGGAGCCATTCAAACAGACCCACACAGCAAAAAATGTAATCCAGGACAAAGGGAATTCATAAAGAGATCGCCGACGACTTACCCTAGGAAAGTTCCCGGCGCTCTGTCTCCTGGCGGGATCGTGCTGGACGCGGTCCAACATCAGGTAGAGAGAGAAGACGGCCACACAGAAGATGGCCCCGCCGCAAACGGTCACCTGCTTCTTCAGTTTCATCCTCCTCTGCTTATCTGACGGATGCTAATGTCCAGGTCAAGAAGAGCGGAGACAAAAGAAGAGATTGTTAACCTGCACAAATGAGTTCTGACGAAGGTTTGTCCCAAAAGTGAAAAAGTGCAGAGTTGCTGGAAGAGACTCAGCATTAAGGATTTTTTAAGCGATGTTTAAAGTCCAACTCTGCTCTCCCATAGAGCTCCAAATTCTAAAGCAGCGGCTCGTGGGATAGGGGAGGGCTAGCAGAGGCGGTGTATATACACAGGGGACGCCTCGATCAGCGGGAACCGTGCAGCAGTCTGTCTTCTGCGACCAAACCACGGCCAATTCCAGCCTCCTTCAAAGTGCCCCTTGTCCTCAACCATTCAAACCGAAGAAAGGAAGGGGGAAAAAGAACAACACAGGTTCTGAACAGCGGGAGCCCAGACAGGGAATCTAATGCCCCTCCGGGAAAGCCGGTCTATGTGTGTGTGTCATTACGGCGAGGACATGTCCTCAACACTTTATCAAACAGCTTCTGACAGGGATGAATCTAATACAGAGGAAGCGTCTCCAGTTTTTGAGCAAGAGTTCATCACTAGGTAATGCTCTCTACTGCTCAGCTTCAGACACGCACTCCAATCTACCGCTTTCTGCGGCTCGCCATACAGAAATAACAAAACAAAATCCAAATAAACATGTGGCCACTCATGAAATACATCAAATGATGTACAATGCCAAATTTGGTTAAATAAAATAGTATTAAAAAGTTATATTAGGGTGAATCAAAACCCAAAAACTGAACGAAGCATTAGGGTTGCAAAAAGGTGGAAAATTGCCAGTAAATTTCGGAAATATTCCAGAAATTTTGGAAACGTTCCAGGATTTTTGGAATATTCCAGGGATTTTTGGAAAGTTTCCTGAAATTTTCCATTCCTTTGCAACCCTACGAAACATAATATATATATATATATATGTATATGTATATAAAACAATATTACAGCATTTTTAAAGAAATCATAATTTATAGTACAATATAAACATAACAAAATCTTTATTTATTATATACAGTTTTTACTTTTGTTTAAACAATGTTGCTATTAATTGTTGTTATTAACTGAAAACTACAATTATTAAACATAATTTTCATTAATTGCAATAAAGCTATGAAATACATCAAATGATGTACAATGCCAAATTTGGTTAAATAAAATAGTATTAAAAAGTTATATTAGGGTGAATCAAAACCCAAAAACTGAACGAAGCATTAGGGTTGCAAAAAGGTGGAAAATTGCCAGTAAATTTCGGAAATATTCCAGAAATTTTGGAAACGTTCCAGGATTTTTGGAATATTCCAGGGATTTTTGGAAAGTTTCCTGAAATTTTCCATTCCTTTGCAACCCTACGAAACATAATATATATATATATATGTATATGTATATGTATATGTATATGTATATAAAACAATATTACAGCATTTTTAAAGAAATCATAATTTATAGTACAATATAAACATAACAAAATCTTTATTTATTATATACAGTTTTTAATTTTGTTTAAACAATGTTGCTATTAATTGTTGTTATTAACTGAAAACTACAATTATTAAACATAATTTTCATTAATTGCAATAAAGCTGAAATAAAATATATAAACTTGGCCTGGCCACTAACTGAAATAAAATAAAGTTACAATTTTAAGTACTAAAATAACTTAAACTAAAATGAAATAAATTTATTAAAAAACAAAACTAATCAAAATCACAAAAGCTCATAATGAAATGACTAAAACTAAATTTAAACTGAAAACTTTAAATTTAAAAATAAAAGCTAATTTAAAATATTAATAAATACTATTGCTAGTACATAATACTAAAACACTGTTTAAACAATGCTTGGACATTTCTAATTGTACCGTTTTGTCATTTTTGACTTGAAAATGTGCAAAGTCTTTGCTATATCATGAGTCATGATGTCGCAACCAGCACATCAACACCCCCCAACTGTCTTTAAAGGTGTCATATGATGCGATTTCAAGTTTTCCTTTCTCTTTGGAGTGTTACAAGCTGATTGTGCAGAGATAAGATCCCTAAAGTTGCAAAGACTAAAGTCTCAAAACCAAAGAGATATTCTTTATCAAAGTTAAGACTCTGCCACACCCCCCTAAAACGGTCTCGTTCTAACACGCCCCCACATATCTACCTCACTATGTGGAAATATTTGCATAATGCCGCCCAAATGTGCACACAAAGACAGAAGGCGTGGTTTCAGTAACCGCAGTTAGTGTTGAAGCAGCATGTCAGGGAGACGCTGTGTGTTTCTAGGCGAAAGCAAAAGCACTTTATTTGGCCTTCCGAAAGTAGATGCATTTAGAACTCTTTAAGATTACTTACAACAGAACAGCAATGCATTTTATGGATGACCGTTTCGTGAACCTAGGAGAGGAGGTAATTCTGACTTTGCTATGACAATCTGGCGCTTCTGAATCAGCTACTGTTTTGTTATTAGTTTAAGTATTTGCTATTGACTGTTCAAATGTGGAGTTTTGCGCATCGTGTGTGTGTGTGTGTGCGCGCGAGCGAGCGAGAGAGAGAGGGGGGGGGTGTGTCACATCACAAACACATACCAGCTTCATCACTGTGTCTGTCACGCGACTCTGTTCCCCTTTCGGGCTCTGTCTTTACACTTATTTTGAACGCTGACGCGATTATGGTAAGGAGCGTTACATTTCCGACGAGTGCTTGCGGTGTTCGGCCAATCACAATGCACTGGGTCAGCTGGCCAATCAGAGCAGACTGCGCTTGTCGGAAGGAGGGACTTTGTAGAAAACGAAGCGTTTGAGAGAGGCGGGGCATAGAGGACCTACAATAATGTACAGTATTTGAAAAAGAATGTGTTTTTTGAACATTAAAGCATGTCAACATATTCTGTTACACCAAATACACCAAATAATGATCTTTAAAAAAGCATCATATGACCCCTTTAACACAAAGTGTGTGTTCTCTCACTTACAGAGTTGAGTGTAGTCCTTCACAGGGCAGCGGTCACTCCTGTCTGAGTCGGCTGAGGAGCCATCGCAACGAATGCAGGTTTCCACGGAGCAGAGAAACGACCAGAGCAGAATAAGAACGACCTGGCTCAGTCAGTACGCCCCCTCTTGCTTAAGCCTTTTTTTTCTTCCCAGCTTGGCTGATGGGTCTTCTCAGACACTGATGATGCAGATCTGCTTGTGCGCTACGCTTTTAATGTCATAATGTATCCAACAAAGTCTCTAGTCTTAATATTTGGGGGCCGAACGCGAGCAATGTCCCTTTTCTGCAGTCAAGACTGACTGACCTTGATTCTGAATGATTCTGGATTATCGAGTCCTACAGCAGGAGGCAATTCTGGGAAGTGCACAAACTGTGCCAACTTTGACAATGGAAGGTGGCGTCTCGCATACAAGATCCAAATAGCGGGTTGGCCTGGATTTGCCTGTAAAAACAAGCAGGTGTTCTATTTCCCTTGTCTCCCAAATCTAATACGAAGTTAATCCCGTCAGCTTCCAGTCAGGCAGTGTCTTAGCGCTCTCCAGAAGGATTTGGGATTAGGCCTTTCGTCCAGCACTGGTAAACAGCTCAACCAATCACACGTCCAAAATGGAGAGGTTCCAGGAATGGCTACATAAAACTGAGAAGGCTACAAAAGGGAATCTTAATGGAACAGCTCTTGATGGAAGATAGTAAACCCAGTTTTACAAAACTAATGAATAGGGCTGGTTTGAAGGTCTTTCTTCCATGTTTCCTATTTTGAAGCCTCAGAAACGGAGAGCCAAGCACCTGTGAAAACAAACAATCTCAGTGAACCGGTGCAGTTGAATGGTTTTCCCTCATACTACACGTGGAACACAACCAACACATGCATCTACTAAAGCATTAATCGAGACAATGGCAGCCAATTAATAAATCAATTATTATTAATATAAAGGGGGTGGGCGATATAGCAAAAATATCATTTCACGATTTTATCTTGATACTTTGTCATGTTGGTTTTACTATTTTGCTAGTTGTCTGAACAGTACAGCCAAACCAATTTCTCTATTTTAAAAAACCAAGTCTTACAAGGTAACAAAATATAAAAATTATATTTAATTTTAGGTCAAATATTTTAGGCAGATATTTAGGTCAAAGTGGGTGAAGATAAAAATATTTGTCATCATTTTATTATTTATCATTTGTTATTAAAAAATAAGAACAAAGATGCACATTACAAATACACATAATATACAAATAAAACAAAGTGCTTTGTCTTTCAGGACGACCTGGTGTATTTAGCATTCAAGAAACTGATTGAACAAATATAAAAATAAAGCACTATATATACATCACTGTATAAATTATACATTGATTCTTATTAAAACAACTGTATTAAAGTTCTTCAGTCAAGAGCAGTGAGTAATTTTACTCTTTGTGTTTTGTTGTTTTATTAACATTAAAGGGATAGTTCACCCAAAAAAAGTTATTTTGTAGAATGTGTATATATATTCATAATTATATATAAATATATATTACATATATTTCTTAAATATATACACGTATGTGTGTGTGTGCGCATTTAGATATACATTTAAATATACGCAGTACACACACATACAGTATATTATGTAAACAAATCACGATTAATCGATTTGCCAGCACTAATGTTTCTATATTTTGAATGAATATTCATTAGATTTGCTATATCTCAGTAATCATCTCAGCTGTACAGCTTATTTGCCTTTAAATTGTTCATCCAACACTATCGGCATTGGCATCAGCTATTGAAAATCTCACACTGGTCAAACACAAACTGTGAAAACTGGATTTAAGCAACAGGCAAAGGACTGTAGATTTATGATATCCGCTTTTGCCCATAAAAAAAAATACATTCATATTTAAACAAAAATAAAATAAAGTATATTGCACCGGAGACTGAAAGAATCACAACAACCAATGACTGTTTGAAAAATAAAAAAAATTGTTTAAACATACAGATATATTGCGAAAACAACTACAAGCAAGGAAAGTGATCAGTGTGTTAAACTACAGCAGCCTGATCTCGCCCTGAAAGTAAGATCTCACCATGACTGCACTTAGAACTGTTTACCTACTTTCCAGAAATATGCCTGAAATAATGGCCTCTTCTTGAGTGGGAAGGTTATCAGCACTGATATCAGAGCCTTTAAGCACATAGTTCATCATTAAACCCGCTTGTTGCCATAGACTAACAAACCCACTGATGTCCACTGCAAGCCTATATCTGCACACATGGAGGCAAGTTCCTCGTTTAACGCGTTAGATCCGATCTATGCCCCTCTAACTGACATTCCGGCTCAAGATCAGACATATATAAGAGTTTATCAGCTAGATCCGCAGGTTAGATCGCGTACTATGCGAGTGCAGCATGTAAATACCTTGGCTCTGGTCTATCCTTCAATACAAGCGCGCGATCAAGCTACAGAAAACACCTCTCTTGCGTTTAAAATCATTATACTGCACTTCTAGCGTTTTTTGAAACGGCTGACCTGTTAGTGGCATGGCTTTTAAACGAGAAAGCAGTCACGGGACATGAAATATTTACCCGTTATTTCCTCCTGAAAGACGTCTGTGGTCCTATGCGAGAGAGCTTGAGAACGGAGCAGAGCATTGTGGGAAGTGAAGTTTTGTGCGGGCTGAGGCGCACTGGCTTCTGATTGGGTAGAATACTGTGGGGGTTAGTACACGTTAAACGGTGCAAATATACAATCACGAAATGCATTTTTAATCTGGCAGAATCACTCTGGACCCCTCACATCCAGCACACTCCCTCTTTGAACTGTTGCCATCTGGTCGACGCTACAGAGCTCTGAGCACCAGAACGACCAGACACAGGAACAGTTTCTTCCCTCAGGCCATCCATCTCATGAACACTTGACAATAACTGTGGAACACACACTATTTATTCACTCATACACTTATTTATCTAACACACATACTCAGTCTACACCTCAAATTTGCACATAATATACAGTACCTGTACATACAAAAACTGTCTATTGTAATATACCTGCACACACAACTGTCAATTTATATATTTTTATTCCTTATTGACTTGTTCTATTTTTTATTATCTGTGTTTTTTTGTTCTGTCACTATCATTCTGTTACACTGTGGAAGCTTCTGTCATGAAAACAAATTCCTCGTATGTGTAAACATACCTGGCAATAAAAACTCATTCTGATTTCTTCTGACATCTTTAGTAAATCCTTCTCAGTGTGCTTTTATTTTTGAAAGTCAATTCTGTATAAACAGGTACATAAAATTAATATCTAGAAATCTAGAACAAGATATGTAGAAATGGAAAACCTTCTTTAAGCAGAGGGAAGGGCAGATATTACTGTTTTATTGTATTGCCGCTGTCAGTACAACGGAATTCAAATGAATAGATTCCTATGTTAGATGTGGCTGGACATATTTGGTCAAGACGCGCAAATGAGGCGGAGTTTAGTCGAGAAGTCAAGGCTGGGCTCATGAATATTAATGACGCAACTAGACGCTCGACCAGTAGAATTCGGCGGCGTCATCATCGCGAGTCGAAAGCAGGAAGCGTAGAGTCGAGAGAACAGAGTGAACAGAAAAACTGCACATTTTGAGAGCACCTGGGAATATTTTTTTTAACGTATTTAAAACAAGCAAAAACAATTTAGATTGTATTCAAACCCCTGAAAAAAAACAAAAAATCTGAAAAACGGTGTGAAAGTTGAGTTGTATGTATGGTTACCATGCAACTTCACCATAGTTACTGTCACAGCTCTATACACATGTTACGATGCCTGTATATGATGCTACACATAATGCAATATGCTTGTATGTATGTATTTTGCAAACACATTTCACATAATTCAGTTTCAACACTTTTTGTGGACGGACTTTATTTTTAAATGCATTTTCACATTGCAATACAGTTGCACAACTGTACCTGCAAATTCAGTAGCCCCAGTCATGTTGCAATAAAATATCTATTCTATATAGTGTCAGTTCTATTCTATCTCCACATGTAATGTGTTTTTATCGATATGTAGGTGTCCCAGGACTCCCTCTACGCTGAGGGAGGAAGGAAACAACCATTTTAAAGCCGGTGATGTGCAACAAGCTCTCAGCTGCCACACCAAAGCTCTAAAGATCAGCGCCTGTCAATCCGAGAGTGCAGTTCTGTACCACAACCGAGCAGCATGCTATCTTAAACTTGAAGACTGTACCAAAGCTGAGGCAGGTGCCACCAAAGGTAAAAATGACATCTGGTGTGTCACCTTCATCACCAACATCATGTTCATCACTCTAACCGAGACATGTTTCCCGTTCTCAAGCTTTGGACGTAGCTCAAGGTGACGTCAAGGCCCGAATAAAGCTTTCCAGGACCTGCTTAGACAGCTAGGAGCACAGATCCAGCTGAAGGTAGGCTATGAATGGTGCCTGCAAAGGAGAGCATCACTATTACTTTTTATGATCTGAAAATGAAGTCATTTTTGTGTTTATATATAGGCAGCACAGCTCTCCTCCACAGACTCACGAGTTCAACAGATGTTCAAACTCCTTCTGGACAGTTCAGCTCCGATTTCAGACAGACAGAAGGTGGGGAAGGCCACCTTTAAACTTATAATAACTTTTAACATACAGTCTTTGAGATGTTCTCTGTGTGTCATTGTGTTTTAATCAGGTTGCTCAGAACCTGGTGGTGCTTTCACGGGAGGACGCAGGCGCTGAGCAGATCTTCAGGAATGATGGAGTCAAACTCCTCCAGAATCTTCTTGATTCCCAGCTGGAGGAACTGATCCTTTCTGCTCTCAGAACTCTGGTTGGCCTGTGCACCGGACACCAGTCAAGGGTGAGTAACTTCCCTTCACAGTCAAGTTTATTATTTGAACCCAAAGGTATCATATATGAAGCTTCTCAATTTATGCATATTGTTTTGTTTGTAGACCATGGCCATTGTGAACGAGGTGGGCATGGACAGGTTGTGCAGCGTCATGGCTTCAGCAAGAAGTCTCTTTCAGCATGCCATCTGCTCCAGGTGATGTTCGAGGCTCTTACGGAGGGCATGAAGAAAGAGATAAGAGGAAAAGATGAGGCCATACTGCCAGGTGAGACGCCGACCTTCACTTTGAGAGCTCATTTCAGCGACCTACCCATTGCCCATGACAAGACCAGAAATAATTTCCAGCAGAGAATTTCTGTTCTACTCCTTTAAGACTGGGTTATGTCACTTTAAAGACTAAAATAAGTGTTTATGGCCACAGGTTTGTTATAGTTAACTAAAACTACTGACTTGAAATAAAATAAACAATAAATGAAATTCAATAAAATATAAAAACCTTTTTATTTCAGCTTGTTACCAAGGCTTAACTTAACTTGCTGTGTGTCATTGTGTTTTAATCAGGTTGCTCAGAACCTGGTGGTGCTTTCACGGGAGGACGCAGGCGCTGAGCAGATCTTCAGGAATGATGGAGTCAAACTCCTCCAGAATCTTCTTGATTCCCAGCTGGAGGAACTGATCCTTTCTGCTCTCAGAACTCTGGTTGGCCTGTGCACCGGACACCAGTCAAGGGTGAGTAACTTCCCTTCACAGTCAAGTTTATTATTTGAACCCAAAGGTATCATATATGAAGCTTCTCAATTTATGCATATTGTTTTGTTTGTAGACCATGGCCATTGTGAACGAGGTGGGCATGGACAGGTTGTGCAGCGTCATGGCTTCAGCAAGAAGTCTCTTTCAGCATGCCATCTGCTCCAGGTGATGTTCGAGGCTCTTACGGAGGGAATGAAGAAAGAGATAAGAGGAAAAGATGAGGCCATACTGCCAGGTGAGACGCCGACCTTCACTTTGAGAGCTCATTTCAGCGACCTACTTTAAGCCCATGACAAGACCAGAAATAATTTCCAGCAGAGAATTTCTGTTCTACTCCTTTAAGACTGGGTTATGTCACTTTAAAGACTAAAATAAGTGTTTATGGCCACAGGTTTGTTATAGTTAACTAAAACTACTGACTTGAAATAAAATAAACAATAAATGAAATTCAATAAAATATAAAAACCTTTTTATTTCAGCTTGTTACCAAGGCTTAACTTAACTTGATGTACTTAATAAAAATGAATAGAAACTACATAGACACACACACATATATATATATATATATATATAAAAACTACTAAAAATGACAAAAACGCACAACAGTATTACTAAAATTTAAACTAATATTAAAATGAAAATGGAAAATCGCTAAATAAACCCCATTTGGAGGATCAGGACCCCGAAACGAATCAAACAGATTTTGTGTCACCTTGAAGAGGTTTATTTTATGAAAATGACTGAATGCATGAATAAATAAAACTATAAATATATTAATCATCTAAATATCAGTGAAATAGTGATGAAATATTGATTTGAGATTTTTGTTTTTATTGTATTATATGAGAAGAAACAGCGATATGAAAAATAATGATATGAGAAACTTGCACAGCTATGCAATCGGAAAGCAAAACTGAAAAATTCACAGCAGAATTCCACGATTAACCAATTAGAATTCAGTATTCCAGAATGCCCTGTAATATTTTTCTCTTTTTTTTCATATTTCCTCCAGTCTGCAAACTTCAAAGTGTTTTTAAAACATAATATAAAACATAAAACTACAAGTATAATTGTAGGAAATTGCTGTAATGACATATTACATATTAATAACATATTATTGCCCTTTTGTTGGTTTTGATTGCTTCTGTTGTCCTCATTTGTAATTCGCTTTGGATAAAAGTGTCTGCTAAATGACTAAATGTAAATGTAATAACACATCCATTGATATTGGTGTCTTCTTGAGTCATAAATATGAAATATAATTGAAGCTGCATCAATTTTGAAAATGCTTTGTATGTATTGCAGAACCCTCCCGTGAGTTGCACTCCATGTTGCATCATCTAATTGGCATGCTTCCTGCATCCAGCGTGTCTGGCGCCGGACGTGACAGCGCCATCAACCTGCTAGTCAAACAGGTGCCGCGAAAATCCTTGAAAAAACCCAGACAACTCTCTCACCCTGTGGGTCATCGACCAGGGTACGTTTGACCGGCTTTCATCTGCTCTCATTTGAGATTTAGTAGACATGTGTAGACATCACTGATGTTAAAAATCCTTTGACACCTGAACAGGTCATTTGATGTTTTGTTTTTGACTTTTCTTTAGGGCTGAAGAAGATTCTAGAAGTAGCAGGAACTGTACCCGAGGTCGAGGGTGGGCCGCCGCTCACAGACAACTCTCCTATGAGCTGCTCCGTTCTACTTAATAAGCTTTATGATGACCTGAAGAGCGATAAAGAGAGGGAAAACTTCAACAAGCTCTGTGAGCAATATGTCCAGTAAGTTATACACAGGCAGAATTGTGAGAGACAATCTCAAAATTGTGAGGAGAAAGTCTGAATCGTGAGATAAAAAGTCACAGTTACCTTCCATAGTTATTGCATGGTAGAAAAACAGTTACATTTTGATTTTTTTCTACAGGCATCACTTTGGCAGCTCAGATATGGAGAGTACACTACGAGCGATACAGACGGTCTCTGTTCTGCTGCAGGGTCCCAGTGATGTGGGAAACCGCACCCTGGAGCTGAGCGGCATCA